TTAACGCCAAACGGACAACCTCGAAAAAAAACCCTCACCCCATCGCCCCCCATCCCCCTCTTGGGACGAGGGGAGGAAGCCACCGGCGAGCCGTAGCGGGTCTGCAGGGGGGTGAGCAGAGGGCGGGAACCAGAACAGACCCTCCTTCTACCGCGCCTGGCACCCTCAACCCCCTCTCATCCCTCACCTCCTTCCTCGCCAACCTGTGTTCAAACCCCCGCCCTCCCCCAACCCACACACACAAAAAAAAAAAAAACTGCCACGGGGTCTTCCACCAGCTGCCCACCAGGGGGAGCTCTTTAACACTGCTTCCCCGAGGGACTCAACCAACGAAACCCCAAACACGAGCACATTTTGTTTAAGTTTTTTTGTTGTTGTTTTTATTCTTCTCTTCGTCCCGTGACCAGATGTGTGCGTTGGAGTGAGCGGCGGTCGGCTGAAGAGTACGGGTGGGCGGGGAGGGGGGCGGTGCTGTTGTAGGTGTCCCACATGGTTGGGTGGAGGAGGACTCGGCTGGCAACTGGCGCAGAGAATTTTTTTTTTTTTCTTTAGAAACTTGGTAGCTTGGTTTTCTTACTTGAGTCAATATATTTTCACTTATTTATTATTGAAATGAATACCATTACAATTAATGAAAAAGAATCTTGTAAATATGTTGTGAATATATATAAAGAAGATCCTCTTTCATGCCGATGCAGCCACTGGAGAACTTGCTCTGTGGAGTAATAGAAGCATTACTTTGGTAGGATTGAATAAAGTAGTATGTTTGTTTTTTGTTTTTTTGTTTTGCTTTTTTATGATCCCTGGTCACTTGTATCTAATGTGATTCTATACTCAGCAGTGGATGAATGTACTTAAAAACCTGTAAATAATTCTGCAAAGGTACTGATGCTGTAAAGCTTAGGGAGGGGGAAAAAACAGTTTTTTGTGGAACTGTGACATTTTTTGTATTATAATACCTTGTAGAACTCATTTTGCTGGCTGAAAGAGTATGGAATAATATATCTCATGTCATTTTGTAGAAGAAAAAAAATATTGAAGGTATTCTCTTCCCTTCCTCTTCCCTCACACACCCTCCCCTCAACACACACACACACAAGTAACATATATCCACTGTAAGCGTTTTGTCATTGTACGGGCACAGTGCGCGTACCAAAATTTTTTTGTATTTGTAAATTGGTTTAAATACATGGAGTTTTTATACAGGTTTTCTCCTGTGTTCTTTGCTTTACGTGCAGGTATGATATTTTCTTCACTACTTTTTTCTATCTTAATATAGTGTGGAGTTTTATTGTACTATTTTTTCATTCTTAATACCATGCCACATTCCGGCTCACGTCCTCAGACTGTCCTCTCTACCGTGTGTTGTGTAACATTTATGACTGCCTGTCGTATTAGCATCTGACCGGGGCGACCCAACCATCCTCATTTCTGCGGTGTCAGTAGGATGTGTGACTATACATAGACCTAACAGTCTGTTAGAGATTGGCTTTATTTACTTTGGTGACTGTTTATAGTTTTTAAATAAAACACTGAACATTTTGCTTTGGTTTTACGCTTGTTTCTTTTCTTTTTTTTCCTTCCCATCAATTTCTCCCACTTTACTGTCTATCAAAGCGCATGCAGCAGTTGTCGAGCAGTGATCCCCAACCAGGGGTACTTGTATTTCAGGTGGTACTTACGCAGTTGGAAGGATTGTGGAGTAGCTCAAATAATGAACCAAAAACAGAGTGAGCTGTAGCACCCGAACACTGCTGCAATGGAGAGTAAATTTAAAAGTCACGGATAACAGTTCGGTCTAAATGAAATAAAAGGTTGAAATAGTTGGCTAGAAGTAACTGGAATGTTTGTTATAGCTAAAAATGAATAAGCAGTTGAATAGTAAACGTAAATGGTTAAACATTTGAAATGTAATAAAAGGTTGAAATAGTTAGCTAGAAGTAGTTTGAAACTTTAACAGTTAGCCAAAGGCTAAACAGTTGAAATAGCTCAAAGTAATTGATAAAGAGTTGAAAGATATCTAAATGTAATAAAAGGCTGGAATAGTTAGCTAGAGGTGACTGAAACATTTTTAACAGTAAGCTAAACATTAGCAGTTGAATAGTTAGCTAAAAGTGGATACACTGTTAAAATGGCTAAAAGTAATGGAGAAACAGATGAAATAGCTTAAAGCAATAGGTAAATGGTTGAAATAGCTGAAAGTAATGGAGAAACGGCTCACAATGCTAAAAATAATGGATGATAACATCTACGTTTGGAACGTGTCGATGAAGGAGTACTTCAGTTCATCTGATAAAAAAAAAAAGGTGGGGAACCACTGGTGTAGAAACACCAACAGAGTCTTCTCCTGGATTCACCACTACACCCTGGGCTGCGTGCCAAAGGAGAGACGTCTGAACAGATGCCAGTGTTTTTAATATTCAGCACTCCGTTTTCATGCTAGGTAGTTGGGACTTCAAACAGTCCTCTTGTCTGATATAACCTAACAAGCTTCATTTGCTGGCAAGCTCATCCTTTTGTTCTCTTTAACCACTGGACATTTTCCTTTGGCTCGTTCCTTTCAACATAATTGAATTGTTAATGACTTTGCTGAGCGCTCCGCTTCCCACAGCTCCCAAAACTTACTTTGTGTGTTTAATCTTACATTACAGAGAACTTTCTGTATTCATCAAACGGCTGTACAGTGTCACATTTTGTTAGTGTTTAGAGCGTAATATGAGATCTCTATGTGAGTTTATTTTCCATCTTTGCTGTTGCTCAGTGCTCATTGCTGTACATCCAATTAGAAAGTGCAGGCAGTATTGTGTATTTACTGCTCAGGTGCTTTCTTTTTCACGTCATGGTCGCTATCACTGCTCATTTAACAACCACAAATGTAAGACATGAATTGTGTCTTACTTCTTCACAGCACACTAAATAATTGAGACTTGTCTTAATTGTCCTTTTCCACATTTTGCTTATCATTGCAGGAAAAGCGCGGGTGTTACTAATAACATTAATCATGGCTCTGTTCTTTTTATAAGTGTCCCAGTAAGGCACAATATCAGTGCCCTGAAACTGAAGCAGCTAAATGGAATAAAGCCATCATTCATCATATTCTGTGAAAAAGGCTCATCGGTAAAATGATGATTGTAAATCATTTGCTTCTTTTTTACAATGTAGTTTGTTTTATATTCACTCGTTTATGGAGCAACTGAAAACTGAATTTTTCTGTTTCTCATGCTCTAGAAATGCTATATTGACTTTATAATATATAATAATAATATACAACAACTTCTGCAAGACTAGCTACATTTTAACTATTTGAGTTATGAATGTGTCTATGAGGAGCCACAAGGCGTTTTAAGGAGAAGCTTCAATTTTGTAGTGTGATGAAAGTAACCTCTCCCAACCAGTGTTTCCATCCCAGGCAAAGATTCGGCTTTATTCTATTTACCAAAAGTCCCGTGGTTTCTCACTGCGACCACTGGAGGGTAATTAACACAACGATTCTACATGCTACCAGAGGGCAGCGCAAGAACCCGTAAACACAACACTGACATAATAGAAAATAATGAAGTTTATATGGAGAACGTGCTAGCAAACACTGGCTTATTCACTCATGGAGCAGACGCAGAGCAACATTAGCACTCATTTGGAGTTGTGTTTGATGAATGAGTTCAATATTCACTCTCCTTTAGCTCTGTTTTGGTTCCCACCCATTCCTGAGGGAAATATCTGGCTCTTTAGATACTAACTACTCCACTTTGTTTCTGGCCAAATAGTGAACTCCACGTTTCTGAAAGCATTTACGATGGAAACAGTTTCCCGCTGTGTCGCAGTACTGATGAGAGCTGTGAGACTGAAACAAAACTGTAACATGAAGTGTAACGGGCCAGTGAACTGAAGAAGACTATAAAGTCTGGTTTAAGTGATACAGTCTTTTACCAGTATTGATGTTACCTTGTAGTTTTTAATAATCACATTAATAGCGCACATATTAAGAACAATTTTACTGATATTAACACTGTGTTAGCCACGATTGTATGTAGTTTCGCAGTTCCTGTCTGTGTCCACTGGAGGGCAGCAGACATGTTTCTGAACACATTCAGGTCAATGTGTCAAATAGACTTTTATATACACTTTATTTTAGTTTTCTTCTGTCATCACTGCGCTGACACTGTGCTAGCATTTTACTGTGGACACAGAACAACAAACAATATACTAAATATATATATAAAATGAAAGACGTGAACACACACAGGCTAGAGTGTTATTATAATTAGTTATTCAAATGTCGGCCTATAATCAGCACAGTAATACTGATTCATTGAGGCAGCTGTGGCTCAGGAGGTAGAGCAGCTCGTCCGCTTAGTAGAGAATGGTGGTTCAACTCTTGACTTCTCCGGCAAGATACTGAACCCCACATTGCATCGGTGTATGAATGTGGAGGAATGAGTATTAGTTTCTGTTTGTGATGGCCTTTGCCATCACTGTGTAAATGTGGCATGTAGTGTAAAGTGCTTTGAGTGGTTGGAAGACTAGAAAGGTGCTTTACCCACCCACTTCTGTGAGCCAATAGACAGTTTATTATTATATTGTTTTAATTTGAAGGGACAGACTTAGATATGAATCTCTCACACCTGATATAGAAGGTGTGTAAGAGGGGGACTGGGACTTGGGACCATGTTTACTGCACTCACCAATGTTCAGTACCCTGTTTACTTAAACCCATACAGATATTATACCAGATTTTCTTTGGGATTACCTGAAAGTATAAAGACACTATTCATATTCACTTTAAAAAACATAATTACATGTTTCATACATATTTGAAAATTTGCCAAATACATCAGCAACTAGAGGAGACAACCAGCAAAGCATATCAATTATGTCCACATGAGTTAAACTTAAAACAGAGTGTGGCTACTCTCCCACCTGTTGCTGTTGTTTCTTTGTAATTTAAATGGCAGCAGAGGGATAAATCCACTCTCCAGGCTCTGTAATGCTCGGCGGTTCCAGTAGGTGGCGCCAGCTGCACCAACTCTCAGCCAGACCGCGAGACATGTGGCTGAGACTTTCTGAAAGCTGCGCTTCGTTTTTAGCCAAAAACAATTCCCGGATAGTGCGATTCGTCAGCACTTCATAGCAGGAGTTTGGACGCCATAAACAGTTTACTTGGTGCGAACCAGCCGCAGCAGCACTTAAAGGTGAGTAACAACACTCGGCGCTAGCTAACTAGCGCTAACTGCGGCTAACTGCTAGCAAGCTAAAAGCGACGTAAGCAGGTGCTGTTGTTCAAAGCAGCTAGTTAGCTTTGAGCTAAATCCTCTTGCTGCTAGCTAGCTAACTTGTGACCTTCAGTGCAATCGTCGCGGCTAATATTAGACACTATTTAGCCATGTTTGCTTCTGTGCTAACAACAACCAGCTAGCTCTCAGGTAGCTGTGTTTTTAGCTAGCAGTAGCTGTCTGGCTAACCAACAACAACCATGTTGTTACCGTCGTGTTGGCACTGGTTGATCAAGTTGGTGCTAATTCAGTGTCTCCAGGAGCCAGGCCGTGCTGGCTCCAAACAGCTGCAAGCTTCCACAAGTATGTGCCTGTCAGCTCCGCCGCTGTGTAGGTATCTACTCCAGTCTCCCCTTTTAATGCAGGTTAACTCACGGATTGAATCTGACGTTGGGCTAACGGTGTGCTAGTTTAACGCTAGCTGGTGTGAAATGTGTAAATTGAGATGACAGTTGGAGCACAGGGCTAGGGACTAATGGCCTCTGTTGACTTGGTTTATTTTAAGTGTGTAGAAATGAAACCTCAGGGTCTCCTCCATCACCCGAGGCTCTGGTCGTGAGTTTGATGAACAGGTTTCTCTTTGTCAAATTTTAAGATCGTCATGATGGAAGCGGTCAAAGCCGGGACTGGGTTTGAATCAGCTATCAGAGGCTTTAAATCTCCGCCACAGGCTTCCTGCTCACAGGCAGACAGATAGAGAAGCCTTGTGGCCTGCTGGAGTCAGGATTGTTCAACATGACTCTGAATGTAAATAACAGTTTAGTCTGGGCAATGAAGTCTGAAAAACACAAGTGAGTAGAGGATTCAGACTTCGCCTGATCGCCTGATGAAGTCTTGTCAGTAGCTGTCTGTGTTGGTTTTAGGCCAGCGTTGTTTGCCACTGTTGCCAAACAAAGTGACTCAGAGAATCAAATGTGAAAACGTTGTACTTTCACTTCTAGAGCTAGTGTTGGCTTAAGAGTGTTTAACTAACAGTGATTTCGATTTGAAAAGTTTTAAGCGGTGAGCTATTACCATCACAACAACCCAGCCAATAAATGGACCAGGTCAAGATTATTGACCCAAAAGAGCTGATCACAGATCTATGGTGTCGTGTCGTGGAATTACCATAGATGTTTTCATTTTAGAAACAGTTCAGCATTACAGACTACCACGATTAAAACAACAAGGGCCTATCATTTGCAGAGGAGATGGCTTTAGGACAATCATTCCTTAACATTGTCTTCACTATTAACGATCTCCTCCACCGGCATCAGGAACTTGTAGTGGAAAACGCAAAGGAGTCTGAGCAAACCAGTCTCAGTTCTTGAGGCAGCCCCCTAACGCTGAACTGTATTTACATTGTAGAGGAGGCGCACGTCAGTTTTGTCTACAAGAGCTTTTTTGCGTAGCAGGTTATCAAGGTTCAGCTTTTTAATACCTCCTTCTGCTCTTATACGTCACCATCCAGTGTGTGTAATATAATATTCATCAGTATGTTTTCATTAGTGTATACTCACCTGAATATAGGGATCGATTTGCTTTTGTTACCTTTTTAGTATGAGCCGTTTTAATCGACAGATGCCATCTCATTCCATGGGGTCCGCCATGTCGAACAAAACACCGGCTGTAGCTCGGGGCGTTCACGTACTGTACTGTAGTTTCTTCTTCGTGCATATTGTCACTGACACAGCAGCCAAAAATGTTAATAATTTATGATAACATTTCAGCACATATGGATATGTAGAGGAAGTGTGGTAGAAGGAACTTTAATGGTATATGTTTGCAAGACATTGTGTGGCCCTCAAATGCAACATAACAGACTAATTACAATAGCTCGGTCTTGCACGATAAGATATTGAGTAAATGTTTACATTTCAGTGCAGTACATTGTATGGATGCCATTATTTTTGTTGTCGTCTTATTTGTCCTTGCCTGATGCAAACAGCATCTTGAATAGTGAGGCAGTCGGCAAGGGTGGGGACAGTAACTCAAACATACTGTATGTTGAGGAAGTAGCTAAAAACACCATCATCTGATGCCATTCAAAGCAGCCCATGGAGTCCCATCACTCGCTGTCTGTGTGGTTAGAATAAAACACTGAAACATTACTTATTTTGTTCCTGTTGGCGTTAAATCAATATGTCAGAGCAGCTGAGAGTCTGTGCACAAACACATTGGAATAAGCAATTCATAAGCAGCATTGTGATGACCTAACATTAGAAGATGTGTATTCTTGCTGAAAAGAAATCTCATTGCAGATTGCCAGTGACTGGCCAAATCAGCTTGCCCTGCATAAACTTTTACTTGGTGTATACAATGTCAAATGAAAGATGCTTTTAGATTAAATATAGATTATATGTTAAGTAAATAAGCCGAAGGTGGCAGGAGTTGAAAATAATTCAAAACCAGAGGAAAAAGGAGGGAAACTGAAATGTTGATTTTGGCGGCCCCAGTGGATAAAAGCAGTAATGTTTCCACCGCCACGTTTGATTGAATTCAAGGGGAATCCAACTGAATCCAACCCGGTGGCAGGCTTTAAGAATACATTTATAGAAATAGCCAATCATCTCGCCAATGGTTGCTTATAGAGGCATCAGTATTACATTTAGACTGTTTCATAACCAGTCAAAATCCTTGTTGTAGGTTTAACTAGTATTATTATTTGATGACAAGCAGCCAAGGGCCATGGTCTGGAATCGAACCCGGGTCCTGTGGTGAGGACTCAGCTTTAGTACATAGGGTGCACGCTTTACCAAGTGAGCTAACGGGATGCGACGGCTTCACTTCCTTTCTGATGACAGCTTTATGGCTTTGTAATTATCGCCTGTCTTAATGTCGTATGTTGTATGATATATGGACATGACCTCATTGATTTTGGCTGACCTCGATATTGCTCGTTGTGTTTACTTGAGTGTCACCAACATTTTGGCCAACATGATGCTAGAATAAACATCAGGGTTTCCCCTACCATTATAAGCCTAAGCCTGATATTTAATTAGAATATTTTCATATGTTTTGCACATTTAAATTCCAATGTCTGAATATTAAGAATTGAAAGTTTTTGGTCTTTTAAATGGTGTACTTGTATTGTTATGCTGAAGAGGCTTTAAATTACAACAATATTGTTTATTGCACTTATTTCTTATACAATATAATTATAATTAGCTTAATGTTGTGAGGAATTTGGGTTGACACAATGTCGTGATGTAGCTTTTTTCTTTTTCCTGGTCTCGTAGTAAAGAGAGTTACGTTTTTTTTAACCAAACAGGCTGAACTAGTTAGTTGAAATGAACCACGAATGACTCTACATTTGTGGTCATCATATCTACGCAACTAAGGATGGTCTTTCTCCAAATAATCTTGCGTGTAATTTTCCATTTGAAAGCGATTCATACTGTCACAGTACTGTGCCATAGGTCCATAATACAGGTTTTGGTTGTGAAATATTGTGATATTTGATTCTAGTAACAATAACTCATCCCCAGTGGTAATTATCTTCTATTGATCGTTGATTGATAAGAGCATTTTTTTCTGCATTTGATGTGTCCATCCAAATGGTCTTGGGAGAATAAGGGTTTTCCTTACTTTACTTTAGTCAGTAATATATTTCATTGTGTGACTCTGTGTTGGCAGAGTTAAGCAGGGAGTGACCAACCCATCTGATCAGAAGATGAAATAAACATGCAAATCTTGAACAAGCTTACCTCACACCAAACATACAACGTCGCTATCACATTACACTTGTTTCAAAACTCCCCAGTAAGCAGTAGAATGGTGTAAACATTGCCAACCACTAGCCCTCATGGAAATGTGAACACAGCAATCTACCAGGTTTCAAATCACTTAGACAAATAGGTCTTTTACATTATTTCCTTCTGTGTCTTGGTGCTGCGATAATGAGATTTTAGGTTAATTTCCCTGTGGGCAAAACAAAGTACATAACATAGTGTACCTACCTATCATCTGTACTCCTCCCCTTTGCATCAACATCTTAATGTTCTCTCCTTCTCTTCTCTGTGCTGTAGTGGTGATCAGGACAGCCCGGGGCGGACATGACTGGAGGTGGAAGTGGTGAGCACAGTGATGATTTAGGTTTCATGTGTACCAGACTGGTTACGTCCCAAATGTTCAAACATACATGTTGCATGAACAGCAAGATCCATCAGTTGTAGTATATCCACGCATCCCCTAGTAAAATATATCTGTATCATTGTGTGTGTGTGTGTGTGTGTGTGTGTGTGTGTGTGTGTGTGTGTGTGTGTCTCCTGTGTGTTTAGGCGGCCAGGGCCCACCTGATGGGACGGATGCTGAGGAGGCGGAGAGGTGTCCTATCTGCCTGGGCGTCCTGGCTGGAGGCGAGCTCGCCATGCCCGACAGCTGCTGCCACGTCTTCTGCCTCCGATGCCTCCTCACATGGGCAGAGGTGACGCTCAGTGCTGCTACGTTCAGGCTAGAATTTCATGAAATAAGTGATAACACAGTTGTGAAATAGTATTATCAGCAGTAGCGAATTGGTGTTGGCCCAGTCTAGACTTGTTAGAACTTGTGTAGGTGGCTTATAAATGTTGAAACATGACATTTCTGCAGACTGTCACAGAAATGTGTATCGTATGTTCATTTTAACGTCTAAATAAGCAAGTATTTGTGTTAGGCATCAACCAATATATTAGATCTTTTTAAGCAAATTACTGATATTGACATTGTGCCAAAAAACATGATTAAATTTGTTGATTATGCCAAAAATAACATTTAGTATTTCCCTAAGAATGTAATAATCTCAGAGTGGGCCTATAAAGCATATAGACCAGCATGAACAGTTTTATATTTTAAACTGCGTGCCTTTTTTCCATTTGTATGTTAGTGATGTTTTGTTTGTTGAACTTACTGTGAAGTTGCAGATGGCTCCTTCCTGCCCGGTGGACAGACGACCTTTCACTAATGTTTACAGATGGGACGGGAATCTCAGCTGTGTGCAGGTCAGTCTGGATTCTGCAGGTGTTCGGCCATTGGCTGCTGCTCTTTTTGTAATCCAACACTGTTAACTCAGAGATTACGTTCCCTATGAAGTGGATGTCCCCTGTCTGTGCATATACCTGTCTGCATGCCGTTAATGGTCTGTGTTTGTAGGCAGAACGTCTTTGCATAAAGCCAATTTGTTATTTGACTAGTTTGCACTTTGAACAGTTTAAAATGTATTTACCTGCAGATGTCAGTTTAGGTGTTATGTGGTTTTAACTTCTTCTGCACCGTCACACCACAAGGGGAAAATTCTTGTGTTTTGATGTAGTTACATCTGACCTTGGCTTAACAGTCAGTTTGTTTACATTGTGTCTGTTTTCCTCTGTCGGGTCCACTGTCAGTCAAGCACACAAAGCCTCGACTAACCTTTGTGTCAGGCAAAAAGTAGTCAATTTTGACATGTACTTTAAATGTGCTTCTGTGTTTGTTGTTTCAAGGTTCCTGTGAGGAAGCGAGCGACTCAACCTGAAGCTGACAGTTGCTGCTGTAGAAACCCCGAACAAAAAGTCTGTCTGAAGTGAGTGGGAGCAAGTTTTTTGTTACAGGACCATAAGGTTAGCAACTTAAGCCAGTCTCAAAGGACTTTAGAGAGAGTGGAGAAAATGCTTCGTAAGATCTACTATTAGTGTCAAATGTCTTATTATCTTGAATGTTTTGACTCAGAAATCAACTTCATTGCAAGCTTTGGTGTTTTCTTGTCAGAAGTAAGCCTGCAAGAAGATTGAGACGGCAAAAGGCTGAGAGGACGGCAGACGCCAAATCAAAAGGACTCGTGAGGAAATGTACGTTAAAACCCTTCTTCCTCCAGGAATATGCGTGACCCCACTCGCATTTTGTCAGCAAATCTAACAGTCTGTAAATGTCTTCTCCAGGTAACGACGAGGACCCCTCCTCACTGAGCAGAAAAAAGGTGTTTTACGTTTGTTCCTTTTTCACTGCCCCATCTTCATGTTTTGATGGAAATGTAATGTTCTACAGCGTTTAGTCTCAGCAATGTTTGATGTGTTTATTCCAGGTGAGAGGAACAGAGTGCTGTACCTGGTCACCGTCTCCTTGTGTCTCATTAACAACATCAACTCAGGAGATGTAAGTTGCGCTTCCCTTTATGATGAATTATGACCATACACTAATACAACACCAAGAAATCTGAAATGAGATGTTTTGGTGTGATGATGATCTGTCCACTAGTTGTCTCACTATCAAAGAGAACTACAGTAGTCCAGTTTATAGGTTAGGGGGACGGTACATTTTAAGAGCCCCCTGCTGGAGTTCAAGGAAAACTGCTACTACTAAATGCTGTGTTTGCGCTTTTTAATTTAAACACATTATTACTGATTACGTATTTCATTTTTGTCACAGCCTCCTTCCTGTTGTATGTGTATTTCCCACCAGTGTCAAAGGCTGATATCATTTAAGCAATCAGAATAGTCTGCAGCCTCTCGAGGAGGGATGTAAGAAAGCTTTAACAGTTAAAGTGTAAGTGGTTCACTCTTAACATTGGGAAGCACCTCATAAATGAGTGTTATCTTGTTCTTATCCCCCTGCAGTGCAGAGCCTGTGTGGGTGGCAGAGGACATACCATATGACACAGGGTTCAAACAGTGCAAGCCTCAGCCGCAAGATTGTCCGTGGCTTTCTCCTGCTGCTCCCATCCCTGCTAGCGGCACCTCGAGGTAATGATATCCCAACTGAGCACTAATATCGCTTTGTTTGTTGTTTTTGTTGTGAATAACACTTCCAAGGCCAAGTTCACACCAAATAGCAGTTTTCTCTTTTATGTTCAGTCTAATATAAGTGCAACCAAAAAACGGCACCGATGCGAGATCCTTACATGCGGTATTTATTTATTAGAAGATTGAATTACATCAATTGCAGGAAAAATGTGAAGGCATATCGATGGACAGTTTATCTGCTTTAAGAGCCAGACTGAACAAAATTAAGGCTGTATTGTTGCTTACATTTGGCTCTCTCCTCCTGTATTCTTAACCAGAGAGCAGTGCAGTCAGTTATCCTGAGTCACAGGAACTCTGAAGAAGCAGACTGTAGAGGCGAGGGACAGCTCTTAATCATTGTGATCATTAAGGATTATAAATACACATTTTTGCAATTGTCATACACTGTTATAAATATCCATCTAAACATGACTTTGCACACACAGTGTTAGGTATGCAAGGGTTTCACATTTTCACACTGTGATTATTGTGGTAAACACTGTTTAAATACTCATATTTGAGCTAATGTATTAAAAAATAACACTTCACACCATGGTTTCCGTATAATAGAACTTCTACAAAAGCAATGCGAACATGTGTGTCAGATGGTTTTATAATAGTCCACTGATTTACAGGCAGCAGTCAAGTAATGCTCCAACAAAGGCGAGAACACTTAAAACTTAACATGACCCTTCTAAACATTTAAAGTGTTCAAAGAATTAGCTTTGCAAATGTTTTGTGAGGAAGGACATGCATTCAACTCATTTGTTAGACCTCAAGGATAGGATACACACAATGTGTAACACAGTAGACCCATAAATACGAGCAGGTTGGGTAAAAAAGTTTAGGACTGTTGACTGGGAATGACTTTAAATGCAGCAAAGTGTCTTATTTCTCTACATCTGACAGGGCTGCTGGAAGTAATTTTGAACAGGGGGTGCTGTGGAAAAATTGTTTGGTTTTTTTGGACAAAAAACCTATGAGCCTATAGGCCTATTTAAAATACATTTAAAAATAAGTAGATTGAGATTCACTACTTTATTGTCATATACACTTCAGTGTCTGTAACACACAGACATCATCAGTTCTCAGATGAATATATGCACTATTAATGAAACTTCACAATAACGCTATAACAGTGCAATAGATTTGGTCAGCTGGCATGAACCTGAGTCACTGCACCGTCTACGTTTATGTTACACGTGACTCTATTAGCTCCAAAATCCTTTTACGCACACCACCACAGGAAATAATCTCTGACTATTTAAGCACGTTATTGAACAGTTCTCCACATCCATTACGCAAAGAACACACAATCAAAATAACACTCTCCATCTCCATCCCCACCACCTTGCAAAAATACTATAGTGTGACGTTAAACTGCATGAATAGATATGAAAGTGCACGGCGGCACCATGCTCTTACTTTGAGCTACAGGCAGGGTGCCCTGGTTACAGGTGTCCAAATGTCGAGGTGCGCACTCTGGGGTCGTGGAGATAAAGTCTCTCATGAGGGGACGAATGTCCAGGGAGTTCAGAATGTGTGGGCATGCATCAGTGAAAGGTGTGTGAGTCTTTTCTGGGTCATGGTGCTGCGTACCCATGTCTTCAAAAGACGCAAGGCAGAGAAAGTGCGCTCGGATGAGGCCATGGAGATGGGTAGGCACAGACATAACTCGATCAGTTTTTCTGTCTCTGAAAACATGGCTCTTGTTTGTTGGTGAAGTTTGTCAAACATGATGCTACATCTTGGACTGTGACACACTTAGACCCTCTGTCTTTTGTGACATCGGCAAGCTGCTTGGCGATGCTTGGCCCAAGCATTTTGAGCTGGAGTTCAAGGCGGTCTGTGTCAAGCTCCTCCGGGAGCTGAAGGGCCTCCAGATTGACGTTCCTTCCCTCTGCTGCTTTGATAACAGCTCTCTCTCGCTTTGCGGCAAGTTTCATACTGGCCTGATCAAATCTTCTGTCCAGCTCCGCCGATATCACATCAATAGCCTCGAAAAAGCTACGTCGCCAATCCACTGTTTGTGCGCCATGCGCCACTGCCTCTGGCTCTCTGGTTTGGTGAAGTTGGGGGTTTTGCTCACCCTAGGGGTGGTGGTGTCTGGCATTTTCAGGGAGGTTTGTGATGCGCAGGTTGCAACCTTGCGGATCAGCTCGTCCACAACTGCATCATCCCGGAGTGTGGCTATTTGTTCTCTCAGCACACCTGTGCATTCCTGTGCACCATGCGCACTTGCTGTGGCACTCTGTAGGCTTGTGGCAACTGCTTCACAGGGCTTGAACAGGGCATGGCAGCATAAAAGACTGAAATATGTTCTCCCTTTTTAAAACGTGTTTGTAGAGTCCCCCGATCTTTGCTCTGCTGTCCCCCCGACACTCTTGTCATCCTTCAGCTCGTGCAGTGTAGTCAGGAGAGTGGGGTAAGCTGCAGTGACGCGTTTAAGGGACATGTCACGGATACACCACCTTGTCGGGCAAAGGCCTAAGATGTTGACAGCATCACAGCCAAAAAACAATTGGTAGAGCTGTTTTTGCCTTGATGACTCTCTTATTACAGATGAGACACCCTGAACAAAGTTCAAAGTATCGGCCACAAGACTCATTTCACACACAGCTTCTTGGAGAATCAAATCCAGTGAGTGGTTGCTGCAATGCACATAAAGTGAGTGCGGGTTTAACTCTTTTAAGCCGAGCTTGCACGCCTGAAAAACACATTGACATATTAGCTGCTCCATCAAAACAAAATCCTGCGATGCGTTCAATGGGGATGTTTAGTCTTATAGTCTTAAAAATATCTTTGATGCAACTGAAAAGAGTTTCTCCAGTGCTGTCCCGGGCGTTATAAAATCCCCAAAACACAGTGTGAGGCTCAAAGCTGCTGTCATCATATTTCAGACTGCAGGAGAACTGCTCAGTGGCGCTAATGTCAGTTGTACCCTCAGCTGTGAGGCCATAAAATCAGCAGTGCGATGAGCGGGCAACAATTTCCCTCTGGATAGCATGAGCAAACTTTTCAATTATTTCATTTTGTATAGTGTCCGACATCCAGTTGTTCCTTCCTTAGGGGTGAGTATTGGCAAGAACCTTACGATACGTATCACGATACTTTGGTCACGATACAATAGTATCACCATCTATCACGATATCATGATATTATGATATAGAGATGAAAACACAAGTATATGTACATCAGATAATATTGATCGGAGGATATATTGAGTCAAAACTATTTCATTCAAAACAGCCTCTCCATTTTATTAATTTACACAACATTCACTGAAAAAAATATTGAAAATAAAATGCGGTGTTACACGCTGCAGTTGAAACCACAAAATGAAGTACATTTAATTTCTTGTCACTGAAACTACTGTAAATATCTCAAAGTAACCATTAATCTCTTTTCCCTGACCAACAAACTAAAATCATTGTAACCGTCTGTACGACTCACAGTGCAGCTGAAAACATAAAGTACCCTCAGTGACAATGCACAAAAATAAGTGAAAATAATGTTTCCCCTATTGTGTCACTGTTTGAACACTGAACTGAAGAGGTCATATGAAAATAATGTAAATGTATATATGTAAACAAAATATACAGTAGTAAACCATAAACATTCTGATACATGGATAGGCCTAAAACTTTGACCTGACTTCTTTGGTTTTTAGATTTTTATGTAGAAAGAATCTGATCAAGGTGCTCCTATTGTGTCACTGAACAGGTCATATGAAAATTAAATGCCTGTGTGCATGTATATTACATACATGCTTCATGTCACTGAACACACTGAGCTGAAAAGTATGAGGAAAATAAAGTGCACATAGTCTTATTGTAAACGAAATAAATACAATGGTAAACCTTAACATTCAGACACATGCATAGGCCTAAAACTTGTACCTGACTGATCAAGGTGCTCTGGGGTGAGTGCACTCCTCTGTGCGGTGATAATGTCCCCCGCAGTAGAGAAAACTCTCTCAGGTGCTAGGTGAACTCGCAAGTTCGTTGTGTTCCCACAATATTTCACGGCAGCGAGACAAAGCTTACAAACGGCATTATCTTTATCCAACCCATTGTTCTTACTATCTTTTTTTAACTTGGAAGCCAAAGTGCTTCCAAACGTCTGCTTTGAACTGCAGAGGCGTTGTTATTTTGATAGCCATTTTGGAAAGACCTCAGCTGCTCTCTCTAATACAGAAATACATCTACCGGAGTGGAGGTACGGAAGGCGTACTGTATTCACAACGCGTGAATAACATGAAAACATGAATCATTATTCTTAAAAAAAAAATCGAGCTCTGGAGTTGAAAAATCAATATTATATTGGGCGGCAAAGTATCGCGATATGTTGGCATATCGATATTTTAACCCACCCCTACTCTTCCTTCTATCCATTTTCTTTCTTCAGGGAGATCATAGGTGCGCTCCAGCATCAAGTCATACAGTATTCCTTCGCGTGCTGTGTCGCCCCTGAAGGCAATTCCCTTGCTGCCACGGAATCGGATGGTCCTGAAGAAAAGCTCCAAACAGTGTCGAGCAGTAGCCTGCTTTCTGGCATGAGCGCTGGATAAGCGAGCATCTATGGGGACGTCATCCAAAGCAGCCAACTTTTGTATTGACTCGTTGTGCAACTCTGATCGAAAAATGTTTCAGTGGCTTTACGCCAATTTGAAAAGCCGGCATTCACGAAGGGGTTGTCTTGCTTGCTTTCAGGCAAACAAAACACAAAATATGATCAGTCTCTTCCACATAATGCAGCCACTGCCATCTAGCAAACCAAGCCGGTGCCACAGAACATGAGAACGTTTCATTATCACCACGCCGTGCAGGAAATTTTAAACTGGATGTTGGCTGGAAGGGCTCGTCTAATCCAATCACGCTAGGTTGGGTTGCAGGTGCTGGGCCTGCCGGTGCAACTGCAGGCAGAGGCGGGCGAACAGTCTCCTCACTCTGGCTGCTCTCCGTTGTCGTGGTTGTGGTACTAGTGTTCTTCTCCACTGGTGGTGGTTTTCCCAAAAAATCCAAAATGCGTTTCTGTGCCATATTTCCTCCTCGTTTCTGTCATTAGGCTATGTAAATTTACTAGTCTGCTGCTGCCATGGATGTATGCTGCATTGAACGAGCAGGAAACCTCTTTACTCGGCAACCACTAGCCTGCCTGACGTTGACAACGTAACTTCCGTGAACCTGTGTTGATTAGGCCTAAAAATAATTAAATTAAAATCCAAATACATGTAATAGCCTACGTGTGTCAATCATTTCCCAAAATATTCATAAGGAATTTATAAATTGTGCAAAATATTTTTAATACATTTTTGAAAATTATCCCTCTCGCCACTAGGGGGTGCTGCAGCACCCCCAGTTCCCGTGGCCATGACATCTGATGATGTTTTCATACATGCTGTTTTTTTTTATTGAAATATTTTTTTAAAGCATAATGTTTTTAGACACCTACAGAGCCTAACAGGAAATAAATGGAAGATAATTAGAGAAGCCACTAGCACCCGCCGCCCCTCTGCAGTAGGCAAATGCGTTATCGGTCTGGCTTTCCTCTGCTGTTCGGGAAATGCAAGCTGTGTTTCCCAAAGCTGAAATTAAACCTTCACCATGGGCAGACTTAATTTGATTTGTGCTATTTTGGGGCAGCGGGTTTTCTCTCTGTGACTCACGTAATCATCCATGCTCCCTCTCTGGTTAAATGTTACAATCTGCACCACAAACTGGCCGCACTCTGCCTCTGTTTGACCAGCAGAAAGGCTAAACACCATCAAATTGCTAATAAAGACCAGAGCGCTATGCTGGGATGATGGTGCCCCCTTTAAAGACTGTAATAGACAGTCGCCACAGTTGTTACCATCAAGATTCAGCGCAGTATATATTCAACTCAGTATTCTTGCACACCTCTACACAGTTTGTGTCCAGTTATAACACACAGTTCTAAAGTGATGAAGACAGTAGTGTGAAGATTAAAAGAAAGTGTGGCATTACTAATTCAATTGCTGAGAGAAATTGCGACAATGGCCTTACTGTGTTTTTTTTTTTTTTTTTTTCTTTTGTCCCTGTCAGAAATGTAACAGATGGTATCTTTGCGCTAAGTTGTTCAGTGTCTTTTTTTGTTGTTTTTACAGGCAGAATTTCCATCCCACTGGTTGGAACCACAGCCCATTTCCATTAGGACTCATTGGCTCATCTCCCTTTTCCTCCAGCTCACTGTTTGGCCCTGGTCATTTTGGTGAGTCTTGTCTCGACAGGGTTTTGTCATGAATCTTTTTGTTTTTTGAGTTTGGAACTTAAAGGTCCAGTGTGTAACATTTAGGAGGATCTATTGGCAGAAATTGAATATAATATTCATAGGTATGTTTTTATTAGTGTATAATCACCTGAATATAGGAATCGTTGTGTTTCCAGCATGTTTCTACTGTAGCCCAGAACAGACAAACCAAACATTGGCCCTAAATAGGGCCTTTTGCCTTCAAGTTTCACAGCCATCGTAGTTTCTCCTACACACTTGGAACAGGATGGTAAGGCAAGGGAGCTGTAATCCACAACTACACCACTAGATGCCACTAAATCCTACACACTGGAATCTAAATGGGTAAATTAAGAGATATAAGCAAATTCATTATTTAGTCTCAGTTTAGAGTTTTCTTTTTTGAAGGTGGGCTTCAAATACAAGTCATGCTTTATTATATGATACATTTAGGTGCATGATTACTGTTTTTTCTATGTTAAAGAGAAACTGAAGCAGTATAGATTACCTGATGGATTTCTAAATGCGGTATAATCTAAATAGTTTAGTTGCTGCTCTGTAAGATTTTAAAGAAACTGCTGATTGTATGTGTAAATGTAGTTGGGCCTGGCTCATATCGTTTCTCCCCCACAGTGTTTCAAGGTGTTGTCTGCGCCATCACATGTCCCAAAGGAGGAGAGAAGAGAGGTGGCCGAGCTTCAACCTCCAAAGCGCCCACCAAAGAGACCGAGTCTCTACCAGCCAGGCGGTCTGGACGCAACAATAAAACCCAGGAAGAGGCTCCAGCATCTGACCCACCATCACCGCCGCAGCCCAGTTCGTCAGACTCTGACTCATCTACCGGCCAGCCCACCAGACCGGGCCGGGCTTCTCAGGCGCCAGCCAAGAGGAAGGGCAAACAGGTAACAAACCGAAAGGCCAGTGGGAAAAGGAAAGCCACAGCAAGAAAAAAACGTTCTCCTGAAGTCGTTAACAGCCCAGCAGCAAGTGAGGAGGAGGAAGAGGGAGATGGGGACGACAACATGGAGAAGGAGGAGGAAAAAGACAAAACTGATCAGGAGCAGGATTTGAACAACTCAGAGCAGCCGCAGTCTGACGCCGAAGGGAGCCACAATGAAGACCAGGACGGTTTCAACTCTGCTGATGAGCGAGGAGGCGCTGAAGGTTTGAGTAACGACGTGGGACAGGACAGCGATGTCACTCAGGAACAATCTAATGAACATGAACAGAAACCGGATGAGGGAGGCGATGACCTGTCTTGTCGCTCAGACTCAGCTCACAACAGCCCCGGGTCGTGTTCTGAGGGCGACCAGGGGAGGGAGGACGAAGAGCCGCCAAGTCCTGTTTCCTCTGAAGAAAAAGAAGATGAGAAAAGGGCTTCACTATCCCCCTCCGACTCTCACAGCGCTCTGCTGGACAACCTGATGTCTCCACACTGTGATGAGCTGGATGATAACATGGAGGTCTGCGCAGAGTCAGAAGAATTTAACAACGAAGACTCAAAGGAAGTGAAGCCTGAATCATGTGAGAATTCCCCACAACCGGCTTCCCCCTCTGCCGGAGAGTCAGAAGATGATTTAGCTGTCCCAGACTCCAAAGCTTCCGAGGGCACTGATACAGAAAAGGTTGAATCAGAGGAGCGTTCAGTGGCTGACAGCTCTGTGGAAGGAACCAAGGATGACAGTCAATCCAAGGATGACAATGAAGTTGTTGCCATGGACTGCAGTTCACCCATCAGCGAGCATGACAAGGATCCTGTTTTCGAGCTACCAAAGGAGAGTGCTGCCCCAGCTGCTGCAGAACCTCATGCTTCTGAAAGCCAAGTCGCCAAGGACGAGAGCCGCAAGGACCAACGCGAGAGAGAAAGGAGTCAAGAGAGGAAGAATGGCAGACAGCGGCGCTCTCGCTTCCACTCCCCAACCTCTACCTGGTCACCTAAGAGGGACTCCAAGCAAGAACCATCGAGGCGCTCGCGCTCGCGGTCTAGAGAACGTGATGGCAGCCCGCCCTCGAGCCGCTCATCCCGAGCTCGCAGCAGAGAAAGAGACAGGGACCGGGACGCAGAGAGAGACTATTCTAGGAGGGAGCGTAGTCGTGAAAGGAGGAGGCGGCGATCCAGGAGCCGCTCCAGGTCCAGGTCCCGGTCCCGGTCTCGGTCCAGGTCGCGTTCCAGAACAAGGTCCTACAGACGAGCTCCAAGCCCTGAACGACCGACCTCGAGAGAGCAGTCTCCCCAGAGGAAGGAGCGTAGAGGTGGCTGGAGGTCTGGGCAGGGCAGCGGGTCTGGTGGTGAGGGACGGAGGCATCACGGAGGCGCTGGGCGCTTCGAAAATGGTGTGCCTACAGAAAGTTCCCCTGAACGCCAGGGCTGGTCGGAAAATCCTGACTGGGTCACAGAAAAGAGTCGCAGTGATGCAGATGGCAGGATCCGGGACTCGGCCTCCAGCGGCGGCTCGCGCTGGGAAGACAACCGCAACAGTGGCGGGAACAGAGGAGAGGCAAGGGGCCGGGGGGGGCGCGGAGGGTTCGAACGCGGTCGGGGTGCGGGCCGCGGTGGCAGCAACCGTAGCTTTTACAACCAGCAGGAGGAAACATCCGACAGCCGCTGGCAGCCCAGAAACAACTTCTCAGGTACAGGCAACAATTCAGGGAATGACGCGTACAGCCGCTTCAATGAAAACCGGGGCGGTGGCCGGAGGAAAGAGTCGGACCCCGGAGACTCTATGCTCGACCGGTCAGGCTGGTCATCGGCATCCAGCTGGGCTGTTAGGAGGACGCTACCCGCAGACGTTCAGGATTATTACTCCAAGAGGGAGAGAGGAGGACCTGGAGGCTGGAACCGACAAGAGGAGGAGCAGCCGGCAGCAGCAGCAGGTCACAACCCTCCTCAGTCTCCTCTGTACAGTTATTTATAACCGCTCTAAAAACACTACTGCTACTGCTTGAGAAAATGCAGATAATAAAAGTAATAAATCAGCCTTTCTCTCTAAAATAGGAGCAGTAGTCATGGTGTTTGGAATTAATGTTTGAGGCTAGCAGGGGAAGATAATCTTGGTGCTGTAGCAGTGCTCAGTACCTCAACTGTGAACAGGCACAAACACAAATTACCCCCAGGCATCTGCACTTCAGTTCATTTAAGGGGAAAGAGTGATTTCTTTGAAGTTATTAATTTATTCCTATGAAAGTCTCACACTTGTTTTACTCACGCAATATCTGTTTTTGAGTCTACCATTTGTTGTGTAATCCAGTAACACTTCTGTGAAGTATTTCATCATTGATAAACTCATTAAATATGGTTATACATGAATAAATATACAGTACTTTAAATCAACAGTTAAACTTTCCTAGAGGATGACAAATTCTGACAGATTCTTGTTCTACAGATCCCCCTAAAAGCGAGCCTCCTCCCCAAGCCGTCCCGGGTAACGCTCCGGTTCCTGTGATGAACGTGATTCCTCCTCAGCTGAATGTTCTTCACCAATACCCCATGCAGGGCCCACGAGGAGCCCTGCCGGTCAGCTTGCAGCCCGCAGCACCATACGCCATGCCTCCTCAGGTCCCCGTGCACCTCCACCCTGCCGTACCACTGCTTCAGGTCCCCGCTGTTGGTGCTCAAGGCCTCCCACCGCCTCCCCCGCCGCCTCCACCCATGCACCAAGGCAGCCAGACAGCAGCAGCTCAGCCTGATGGCTATGCGACACAGGTATGTTATATTATATTATGTAGACAGAAGTTAAAATATAGTGAAATAAAATACACAAGTAAGCAGACCTTCCACAATGTTAATTCTTATTCTTTGGTTGGCCCTAGATGGCAAATACAATGGTGGGTTATGGGAAACCCGCCCTTCTTCCCACCCCAACCAAAGCTGGTATTACCATGGCGACCCAGGGCCAGCTGGCACACAGTCAGGTGCTACCATCCTCTACAACTCAGTCCGGCCAGCATAACAGGGCTCAAGCCGATAGCTCCAAAAAAGAAAAGGTAGCTGCCACCGGGCTGCCCGTCCCTTTATCACAAAGCGTTCTTCAAGAAAGGGTTTTGTTTTTCTGTCCATTTTTTTTTTTTTTTTTTTTTCAAACCTCTTTCCTCTTTCTGCTTTAGAAACAACAGATCCAAGAGAAAGCTATAAATGAAGTGAAGACAGCCATCAAACCCTTTTACCAAAGGAAGGAAATCACAAAGGAGGAGTACAAGGAGATTGTCCGCAAAGCGGTAGAGAAGGTAAATTGAGAATTTCTCCCAGTTGACCGTTTGCTAAGCCCCACCACGCTTAGTTACTGTCGCTACGCTACTGTCAATCTTTTTGTTCTTGCATAGCACACATGCAGTTTACTATAAGGGTGGAAGAATTGTTATTGAACTTCTTAGTGAATGTTGTAGTAGACAAAAGTTGGCGTCTCATTTCTAGCCAGTGATTTTGTTGGCTAAAACCAGCTTCCATAGTGGGGAAATAGTATGCAATGAATGTGCTGGTTGTGAACGTAACCTGTAACCCCACAAAATAATGTAGTCTTTGAAGTAACACTCTGTTTCTGCTGTAGATATTAAGCTACATAGTTACGCATGTCTACGTTAGAGCTGATGAACACTGTTAAATTCAGTCCTTCCTTGGAAAGGCAATAAGCATTTTCCCCTGCTGGTATTTGCTTTTATTTGTCTCCTTATTTTTAATTTGACATTTTATCTGTTTTTTTCCTCAGATTTGTCACAGCAAGAGTGGTGAGGTGAACTCCAGTAAGGTGGCCAACCTGGTGAAGGCCTACGTGGACAAATACAAGCACGCCCGCAAGAAATGAAATCCCACCCTGCTGCTGGCGTGGCGATGCCCTCACAGACCCATTCAGCTGCTCAAGTGCAATTTCCTCTAGCTGGAATTTGGCCTCCAAACTGAAAGACAACGGAGAGCCAACATTTTCTTTTTTGATATCTCTACCTTTTATTGAATGATGAAGATTTTTTTCTATAGATTTTCATATTTTGTTAGAAAAAAAGAATTACCCAATCAGAAATTGTAATGCAAGAGCCCTTTATTTTGCATAGATCATGTGACTTGGGAACTACTGTAAGGTGCGCAGGGTAGCGTGGGGTGGGGGGGGGGGGGGGATGGGACAGTTGATACTAAAGATGCAACGCTCTGTGAACGACAACAGCTCATGTAGTGGAGAGTCTCTCCCAGGGTGCCGGCTGGTACGATGAATATCTCCTGTATGGCGTCCTGATCGCATAGCTTGTTAATTGAATATTGTCAATGTTCTTTTTTTAAAATATTATATAATATTTCAGATGAAAGCCTAGTTTAAAAAACAGTGCATTGCCTTTATTAATCTCTGTGGCCCAATGGCGGGCTGGAATCTGATGAGTGTGATTGTAATCAGGGCCCTGATTGGTTGAGGACCCGATCAGCAGTGAGTGTGTAATGTAAGGCACAGTTCTGGGGCTCGTGGGTGGGTGGGCGGGGCAGATCAATCGAAATGAATCCCACCCCCTGCCTGAATGTGTAATAATGTCAATGAGTGAACATGAACGTTGCAAAGTATCCAGAGAGTAGTGAAATAAATTAGCTGCTTCCTGATCTGCTCTGTGTGTTTGTCAGAGGATTCACATGAAGGAAAGGAACACCTCCATTTGAGATTTTAAAGATGGAAGTTTTTGATGTTCGTCTCCATCTCTGTAGATGTGATGTTTCTGTTCTACACTTCCCAAAAATCACCTTTGAAACAGTGGGTGGTCTTGTGATGTTGTCTTTCTTTGTTTCAACGATGAAGAACTACCAGACATCAAATGCAAAGTCTCCTTTAACTAATAATATTACTGTTGGTTAACTGCATAACTGATTTTTAGGCCATGTTTGCAGCACTAAAACAATCACAACACTGGTATATCATCACTTTTTAATTTAATATAATGCACCACCAAACAGTTGCTTATTTACACATCCAGCAGTTAGGCAGCAACGTTATCATTCATTTGAAATTGTGTTTCTGGCTGGATGACTAAGTCCAATATTTCACTCTTATTTAGCTCTGTTTGGTCTCTACCAACCATTGAGGAAAATATCCGCCTCTTTAGCTGCTAAATGCTCCACTATGTTCATCAGTTAGTCGCTAACTATGTCTGCCATTTGGTAGACTCACATAGTTTGGCTGAGCAAGTAGTGCACAGTCAGTTAGCAGGAAACAGCCAACTTGTGCAGCAAAAAACGAACTGAGTGAAGCAAAACAGTAAAGTTGTGGGTTTGACAGCTAAACAATGAGCTGAAACTCGCATTAAATGTGAATGACTCTTAATCTTAATACAATAAAGCTAAGGTGAGAGTTAGGGAGATGTCATTCAACCATTTATGAACATCAGAGCAGTAAACATGGTTGAACTGCTGAAAGCAGTGGTTAAGGTCTACAATGAGGCAGCAGACTGAAAAATATAAAGAATTACAGGCATGTAAAAGCTCAAGAACAGCCACTAAATGGACCTTGTGGTTGAATTATTTTATCAAAACTATTTCAAATTCATTTTTAGCCTTTAACTTTTGAGCCAACAAAGACAAGAAATCCTTTTAAGTGCTCAAACAAAAATGGAAATTTGAACACCTACAATTCCATGACAGCTGGGCAAACTTATGTGCTGATGGAGATCATGTGATATAATCAAAAACTCCAGAACTGCTTCTGAACTGACCTCCTGAGGGAGAAACATTTGTCAGATCAATAACAAACCCTTGAACTCAATTACAAGCTTGAATATAAAAAGTAGTACATGAGCTGAAAAGTTAGTCAATTAGTATTTTCCTGGCACGTCTTCATGTTTGAAATCATCTTTATTCAGGCTGATAATCCTGGTAATTAATCTGTGTGGGATAAAAAAGGTTAAATGAATTTGCCTGCGGCTGTGGAGTGTCCTCTGTTGACCACTAGGGAGCAGCATTGTCAAGGAAAAAGGTGATCCCAGAAGAAAATGCTTAATTTTAACACTGCAGTCATGCTTGAGATCCCCTGTCGGTCTGTACTAGGAGAATAATGACACCCCCACAATTATGATAGTGCCATTTATGGGAGGCACAGACTAACTGCATAGATATTTGTTTTATACACTTAGACTATCTTTAGAAATGATAAGCTATTATAAAGTAAAAGAGGGAGAAAAAAAAATACAGTTTTCTAAAGCATTTAGCTCTGAGTTTGTCTAGTATCAAATGATAGCTTATAACATTAATGTACAAGTGTAATATGTGGTGCACAAAGCAAGTTTAAAACTGTAATATGAAGAAAAAGGACCAATTTGTTACTTTTCTCTTTCCTTCACTCTTCTCAGAATAAATTAAAGTATTAGTAGTAACCACTATCACTCACCCTTACTGCCAATTGTATGTTTGTTATTACTCAGTCCCCCTAGTGGTCCTGTTGAGGTGGACTATACTTCTGAAAACCATCAACCAGACATTTAAAAGTCTCTTTAACTGCATGATGGCGAGCCTGGTATACATCTTCCACATCAGTTTTACCTCCTTGTCATTATAAACTACATTCACAAACTCTGCTCATACAAAAAGAAGCTGACACATACCACAAAAACCACCAAAGCCATCTTCAAGTTTTATTTTAAGTGGAAATTAATCACAAGTTTGTGTTTATGGGCCAAAAAAGAAAAGTATTTACAGTGCCTCTGTACAGTTTTAATGATGTATGATCAGAGCTCATCTTAATATCTTTAACTAATAGGTTATTAAATTAATGTCTGCTGATGTGTGCACGTAGCTATTTACAGAAAGATTTATGTTGTGTTCAGGAAGAAATTATAAACTAAATCAAGACAGCAATGAATAAATAGGAAAGAATAGTTATTTTTCTTTCCTTTATTCTTCTTAAACTTAAATGACCATAACTTTTAATACTTTCTAAAATAACGTTTGTTATATTTGTCATTAATAAGGCCCTCTGGTGGCCTCTGTTGAGATTGTCGAGCATTTTGACACTTCACTTTTGAAGGTCTTTGTCAACTGCATGATGGTGGACCTGATTTAACTGCTTGTCCTCATAAACCACATTTACAAACTCTGCTTTGACAAAAATAAGCGGACACAGGACACAAATAACACCAACGGTACATGTTATAGATTATCTTTTTGATTTTAATTGGACATTATTTACAGGATATACATAGTGTTTCATTGAAACAAAAGTGTAACACTGGCGGGCAAAGCCCTCTTTGCTCCTGAGGTCAAGAGATGGCTGACGGACTCTCCAACCAAGATGTGCGTAAAGGTCTTTTTACTGATCCAGGTTTGTGTTCAGGGGCGAAAAAGGAAACAAGACTGCTGCCGCTGTATCAGTGGCTTCCACATGTAACACAGTTTTCACAGAATCAACACAGTAGGATAATTCAGTCAGTCTTAACAGAGATGAACAGTTCAAGCTCCAGTGTATCGGAGTCAATGTAATATCACAAATTCACCATCTTGGGGTTTTTCGTTTTTGTTATACAGCTCCAATGCATTATTGTAAAAAAAAAGTTCAAAGAAAACAAAGCGTATATACAGTTGAACTCAATAGATATATATACATATATATATATACATACAATATTATATAAATATAGTAAAATAGATTAAATTACATTGATTTCACGGTCTTCCATAAATAGATGTTGGACAATAACAGTTTGGTGACGTGTTAAGTTAGTGTTGGAAGCACAGTGCACCGTCAGATGACAGGTTCACGACTCGACGGGAAAACAAATCCATGCCGAGCTATCAAGTTCTTCATTGTGAAACATTTTAGAAAGCAGAAAACTGCGCAACCGTACATAAAAACACTCAAAATACTGTGACAGATGTTCTCTTTAGCTTTCTTTGTTGTCGTTTGGTTGTCAGTGTTTAAGAGCACACCTGACTTTTTTGTTTTTTTGCAAGTTTAACAGGTACATTACAACCACTGCATGTGGTCAAATTCAAAGTATTCTCCCATAAAGAAAAAAATTTAAGTTTCCCCCTTCCCTGAAAGGCTCGGTGGCCTCCAGGTCTCGGAGCAGTAGTGTCGTCGCTGCACACACTATTCCAACAAGATCTTCAGCAGGTTATAAAGAGTAAATACAGTTTCGACAGATTCCTCTGGTGAGATACTCTGTAGCTCCCAGTGTTGGGTTTGAAAAGGCAGGTTCTGTAGAATTATACTATGTTTTACAAGGAAAGCTGACACTATATGCAAGGTCACAAAACCTTCATACGAATACTGAATAGGCGGTGTAGTAGGCCACGCCTGTGAAAACTGACAAGTCTTGATTTTTTTTTTCTCCACGAGTGTGCTGAACAGTAAGTGCTTCTCAATATACAAAGATGCTTTACAAATACATTTTTGGCAAAGTGAAAACGGAAAGAAAAAAAAATGTTGGAAGGAACTTAATTGTCCTTGAGGAGAATAAACTTTCAAGTCTGTTGCCTCTTTTTGATGTTCGGGAGATTCACATACTTTTCTCAGCAGGATTAGTTGTTGCTGGGCTCTGAGGTCACAGCCACACTCGTGCAAATATACCACCGTACCTGAATGTAAACTGCATTTTGAACTCTGCGCCTATGTCATTTCAGATTTGAGGCACCTCCAAATATTTGTTTTCAGCTGTACCTTAACTACAAAAGAACATTAAAAATAAAAATGAGCAAAAACAATATGAAAAAATGTTACAATAAAAAGAGAAAAAACTGGTAAAACACCATCTTTGTGGCCTATAACAGCATACTGTACAATGTTCGGTACATTCTCTTGGAATGGCATGGTTTGCGCTCAGAAAGTCAAAGCCGAGCATCAAGTGAGTTCTTGTGTTTTTCTTCTTTTACAATAGGTTTTGATCTTCGTTGGTTGCGCGGTCGTAGCAGTCCAGCGCTGAGAGCCTCCTCTCTCCGTGGCAGGCCGCAGCAGGAGAGGCGGAGCTTTAGTGCCCGTCGGCCGGGCTGGCTGAGGCGTTGTGGATCCAGTCCAGGATGATGAGGCTCATGCTGCCGATCATAACCACGAAGCCACACATCAGGAAGGCGGTGGCCTGAAGAGGAGAACGATTTCACATTTAGCTAACATGTTCAACCTAACAATTTGAAGAATACACTTAAATTGCCGTGAGTTAGATGAGAAGATCGATCGTTCTCGTCTTAATGTTCACATATAAGCTGGTTAGCTTAGCTTAGCACAAGAAATGGCCAAGAAGTAGCTCGGCACAGAACGCTTTTAGTACTTTGTTTTTTGTCCGTAACATGTTAATTAGTTAGCTTTAAAGCAGCTTGGTGGATTTTGTTATATTCCAGAACCAGGCGAGCGGTTTACCTACATTTTCAATCTTTGTGCTAAGCTAAGCTAACAGCCTGCTGGTTACATCTTCACTATTGCTTCAAAGTAATTTCTTGTGAATTCTGCTTATTCTTTACCGTATGTATGCAGATGTAAGAACTAACTCCTTACCCCGATCTTTTGCACAGACTTCATGGACTCCTTCTTGACCAGTTTGATGTAGAAAGCCGAGGGGAGGATGAAGATGAGCATGGCAGCAGCAGAAGCACCTACATGAGTAAAGAAATTTGGCATTTTAGTCACATTTTGTGTTTGAGATGCCCCTTATGTTATTATCATTTACATTAACATGCAGACACTCACCAATGAAGCCAAAAATGTCTCTGATGGTGGGGACAAAGATGACCAGGGCGTTAGTGCCAGCCAGCAGGACCATAGTGATGACGGTGTGGCGGATCCAGCTGAACTCCTTAGAGGCGCACAGGAGTTGGTTGACGGAGGTACGGATCTACACAGAGAGAGACAAAAAAAGAGGTTATCCTACATGAACAACTTCATTCTTGTGACAGTAATAATCTAAGATTAGCTCGCTGTCTTTGACACTTACGGGGAAAAGCACCACAGGGACGGTGAGGGTGACAGCGGTCAGCACAGCCAGACGGACGATCAGCAGGATCACACCAGCCTGGTTGATCTTGGAGTAGGTGTGCAGCAGCTCAGGCTCCACATGCACTGTATAGAAAGACAGCAGATACTCTTAAGACCTAAAGCACATACAACTCCAACATGTGACACATTCATTTAAAAAAAAGGCCTTATAGTCAAATACAATTTACCAAATAAAATGGGCTGTAAAGCTGCCAGAATTGGAGATAGTGAATTAGCTTACAGAACTGATCCATGACTCTTTTATCTATTATGAAAACATGAAATGTTTTGAACCCATAGCCTACAACATGAGGAAACACATTGAGTTTCTATAGCAGCTGTACTTTGTGTTTAGTGGTATTTAGTGGTAGACGTTATAGCAGCATAGAAGCATTGTCAAAACTCATCAAGCAGGTTAGAACAAACGTCATCTCTAGCCTCCCTCCCCCTGACACAAACTATGCACCAACCCACATCAGGTTTTGCCCTGTCATGACGGTTGAGGAAGTTTTTGCTCACTATCATGCTCTTGTATAACCAGTTTGATGTTCCGAGAACATTTGTGCACACTCACTTAGATGTCCGTGCCATGACAAACAGGAACACGGACATGGTGGCACACTGGTTAGCTGTGTCAGGTGGGTTTTTTCACAGTCTTGCACAACAGGCCTTGAGTCCTCTCCTGAGCATTTTGTTCCAGGAGGGATATTCACTGTTTAACTTGGAACTGGAAGCTTCTTCCCTTTACTTTAGATGATTGATGCACTTTGACATTTAGTATTCAGGGACAATGACCGCTTGTAAACCCGTACTTTAACTCATCGTTGCTTTCTAGTCATAGTATTCATTTCTTTTCAATTTCAGCTAAGTTATGGAATCTGAGCCAACACTGTTCAGCTACATATCGGATGCCTGTCATGATCAATTCAGTGTATATAATTAAATATGCACATTAAATGCAATTGTTTTTTTCTGTCAAAGAGCCTCACCGTTGAAGGTCAGATATCCGAAGAGGGCAGCCAGCAGGTACATGATGAACATGGCCAGGAAGGACACATTGGCAACGCCCTGCATCTTTCTGCGGGAGCGGCTGTTTGGGGCGAGAGAAGAGGGGAGATCCATTTAGACACCACGATTCAGTTTTTAGTAACTGTGAGATAAAGTTTAAAGCTGTATGGTTTGGGTGAACATGATAAAGTGAAAGCAGTCCACACTTACTCTTTGAGCTCCTCGTACATGGGCAGGATGGCAGGGTGGCACACGAAGGCGAAGGTCAGGATGGGGACAGCATAGACAGTCTGGAAAAACGAAAGTTCAAAATTTATACCCAAGAATTAACATATGGTTTTTAATTCTAGTAAAAATTAAAATTCTCCAGATGTTTAGCATCTAAAAGAGCTTTACCTGAGAGTTGAAGACAAAGTACTTCGGTGTGCAAGCGTCCTCGCTGTAGTCCACGGCAGTGTTGTTCGGTTGATACAAGGTGGTGTTCAGAACTTTGCTTAGCGTTTCATTCAGAGCACTTTCATTCAAAGGCAGAGGACACTTGATCTGGAACTTCTTGATGATCACCTGGAGGTCAAGACAATAGATTTTAGGCAAAATTTGCAAACATTTTGGGCTGAGATGCAATTTTTTTTTTTCTGGATGAAAAGCCTTTGAAAGCGTGTTTAGCTCATCATGGGAAACGAAAACCCCAGTGGAAACAAGACTACTGTGGGAAATCAGTTTAAAAAAAACAGTAAACATCTCAAACCCACGATACCAAAGTCGCAGCCAAATTTCAGTTTTACTTTTATTTCATTATGTTCTAGTGTTTCATTACTGTAGCTTATTGTACATCCCAATAAATAAATCCTACTCCTCTACTGTTTGGGAAGGAAATGGAAAAACTGAAATTTGTTCTCTGACTAAGACTCATCTGGCACAACAGGATGGCTCATGCGCCAAATGGCGTGTGTAGGAAACGGTGTGTGTGTATGAAATGGGAGGGCTTTACTCACCACAATCAGAAAGAACACCATGCAGAGCAGGGACAGACCACTCGTGTAACCAAGGTAACCTGAGGTGAAAAGCAAACCACAAACATGAGGTACTGTTTTTTTATGAGATCTATTTTAAACCTGTGCAATGCTCAATTTTTTTCCTTTTATCACTTCGCTTTGAGCTGTGAACATTTAGTCTTGCACACGTCTCTGAGCCAACCCTGTACAGAAATACTTTACAACACACACGCTGCTTACCCAAGTTCCTGAGCAGCGATAGGGGGAGGATGATAAAAAGCGTCACCAGCAGCACCAAGTAGTCACCGTTAGTGTACCATTCTCTGAAACACAGCAAGACAGAACATGTCAGTGATACTGATTAACCAATGGACTATGACACACTGTCCTATTAAAGGAACACCAATTTTACACATCACATGCCTTTAACTTAGCTTCTGTGGCTATGAAGGAGTTTTCTGCACAAATAGTAAGGATATGTCAGTTTCTGCTGTCTCCTGTTCCAACTACATGGAAACGCATTTTGGAATTTTTCCATTGTAGCTTGAGTTAACATTCATTTGTCTTTATGTTTTTACAGTTTCGCTTCCTGTTTTAATTTAGATCTGTCAGATATTTTGCAATGTTTGTGAGCTGCACTGTAATGTAAATGAATAAATCATAAATACTGTGACATTTACTTCCCCATGCATCATGCATCATGCATCTAACTTTAATGCTGGAACAACTACACAGCTTCAAAGTACCGTCAGTGTTAGGTATTATTGGCAGTAGAAAGATGAGAAAGCCAGTTTTATTTTGTCTTTGTTTCAGGCTTAGTTCACTACATATATATGCAGTAGCTTTGTTCACGCACATCTTCTTCCAAGCTAAAGACACAACTTAGTAAGCAGCACCAGGAGTAGACTAATTGGCACTAAAATTGACTACACTGTGCAGAAAACTGATATATTAAAGAACCTTTTCTGTCCGAATTTTCTTTCATCTGCAGTTTCAGGCCTGATCAAACCTCTCAGCCGCTGCTCTGACACATCTTGTGAAGTCGCAGCTCTACCAACATCTGCATGTCAGCTGACACAAACTGGCCAGCGCAGGATGACTGCATCGCTCACACAAATAGATTTAACAAAGCAGCACTGAGGAGCCAGACCGCATCAATTTTTTAAACTTGAAGGGAGGTCGCAGTGAGCTCACCCCGCGCTCTGTCTCGATGCGGCACCGGCTGCATCTTCTAAAAGGGCTCTTTGACCGGCCGCTCGGAGAGACTGAGCACTGCCCGTCCCTTTAAAACATCCAGACCCCCCTCCTCTCTCCTCCAACAGAAGGCTTCCCCTTCTCCGACTCTCGGCACTCGACAAACAACTGGCAGCCATTTTGCTTGATGTGCCACTTCACCTCGAGGGCCTCTGCCAAGTGTGCCTGTGCTCTTTTACACCTCATTTAAAAACTCAGTGGGGAATGTTTTAGTGTACTACAACACATTATCTGTAACATTACACATTATTTTGAGTCTTGACCCTGAAAACACCTCTTTTGGGATGTGTAAACTACTCTGTATTGACATTTGGTTAATAGTTATGGCTACATAGCTCCTTGATAAATGGTGTCCTGGCCAGATCTGAATCACTACCAAAACCTTTGCCAGAGGTCAGACTTGTTGGAGAGTTCAGAAGTTTTTTTTTTCATTAATATCAAACAAGGTGGATGTTTTTTTAAATTTATCTGTACTAGGGGCTGCAAGATTTTCATGTTTATATGCTTTTTTTCTGTTTTTAAATGAATCAATATGAAATATGAAAACTAAAGAAACACCTATTGATCACCCTAAAGCCCTAAATGATGCATCCTGCTGCTTATGAGCCTGAAAATTAAAGCTATCCTGTGGAGTTTTTGACCACAACTGGCGCTATGGAGCATTGTTTTTATGAGTCTCTGTTTGTAAACATAACTCAACAGGGTGCCTTTAAAGACAGCCATCAGCATATCAAGACACTTTGACTGTTGGACATGTGCACAGATACCTTTTCAAGACCTGCAGTTGATTAAATGTATTTTAGGGGCTAAATATCTGGTCACTCACCCATTGCTGTTTCCCATGAAGGACTGAATGACAATGGGCAGCTCGTACTTGACGATGTAGAGGTAGCTTGACATGGCTGTAAAGACAAAGATTGCAGTTAGTATGTTTCCCTGTATAATAAGCCAAGTAATGTCCATAGTGGGAACTCCACTACAAAAATAGCTATTTCCAATATTTGATGAGGGGCTGCTGGAAGAACGTGCTTGGAGAATGACTCAAGTTTTTACTGGAAGCTACTCTGCATTCCACAAACACACACTGGTTGGATTGGCCAAGAGTTTTGCTTTCTTTCTTTTTTTCCCCCAACTTGAAGTCAGTTTACACACAAAGGGACAGTGTTGTAGCTGGTGGAATAAACACATGGTGGATGAATATTGAAAAGTAACACTTGTTGTCTCTCACCTCCGATGTTCTGCATGGTGATGCAACAGGAAGCAGCGAGTTTCCCCGGCAAGCCGAAGGCTTTGTAGCCCAGCTGCTCGTACACCAGTGCGCCTGTGAAGAGGAAATAAAGAAATAGAGATTTAGCATTCAAAAAGACTTCTAAGAAGCCATTAGGAGGTTTGGATTCATGACTGTTAGACAGACTGACCTCCTTCATTGGCCGTCTTCAGCAGCAAGTGGACAGAATACAAGGAGAAGATGGCAACGGCCACGAGGAGAATCCTGGAAACAGACGAGAGAGATCTTTAGCTGAGTGTTGACTCGCAAACAAGGCGGAAATTACAAGGAAAAACAGCTAAATCGGTGTTGAAGTGCTGCACTAATCTATAAAATGAACACTTGTATTGAATATGTGGCTGTAAATGCCAATTCAATGACAAATGTATTTTCCTGACTGCGGTAAACAAACACATTGACATTTAGCGAGCATGAAGGTCAGACTCTCCTCTGTTGGAACTGAGGATGTCTTACACCAATTCACCCTCAAATATGAATCTGCCTGCAGGACAAGACTAAACTATCTGCTTCGAAAAACAATCAGAGAATTTTGACCCTGCTGACTTTGAGACCCAAGACTCTGCAGATTTTCCTTGACCGAAAAGTAGGAAAATCATCTGATGTGACGGAAACCTGCATTTTCCACACATTGTCGGCCCGATCAGCAAAGACCTGCATCAGTCTGCAGGTTCTTTGGGTCACGAGCAGCATCAGCAGAGTTGCAAAGGATGACCCCTGTACGGGATCCTCTGCAGAGCCAGCATCGTGTGCCCGGGTATTAATAGTCCGGTGAAAAGTAATCTCCAGGACATTTGAGATGTGTGCTTTAAAGACGCAGCGCTTCCTCCCGGGCAAGTGACTCCCTCCAGCTGCTTTGAGCCTCTGACTGGCCGCTGCCTCGCCTCTGACATCATAATGGTTGATATTTTATCGCTTTTTACTCAACAAATATATGCTTTGGATGACCTTTGTATGGGCAGTCAATTTGTTCTGCATGTGGTTACTTATGGGAAGAGCACCAGACAGTGTTGAAATGCAAACACACAAGCTTTGTAGTAGCTATTAGGGTTGCATAATCCTTCAACTTCCTGCAGATGTAGGGCTCGGATTGGTCCACTGCTGGCCGATAGTGAACCACGCTGTGCTCCATTCATGATCTCCTGCGAGCCTGCGTTGGCTCCTCTCCATTTACGTAACTCTGGCCTAAATGCACTGGGATTAGCTCGGCTAAGCTGCTTCTCCTGCCACTCCTTGCCTTTGTAAACTGACATAGAACTGGCATTTGGTGGCACCCAATACTTTACTGTCTGTCTTTAGCTGGTTTCCTCAGTGCTTCAGCTTGTGTCTCAGAGAGAGTAAGCTGATTATGGGTCAGTGCAGCGTGTGTGGTAGTAAAACCTTTGGCCTCTCAGTATTTCTTACGTGTGATTTAAGGAAAGCTGGTGGTTTTTCCTCAAGAAATTGGGCTTGGAAATGCGAGAAATCCAGACACCAGTAAGAACTGGCATACAATTGAAAAATGTATAGACAGTGTGATCTGAAATTCCACTGGTTAACCAATAGTAGAAAAAAAACACGAATTGCCCTGTAAAGAACTTTTCAGTTATTTCCCACTAAAAATGAACACTCTCACCGGTTTTATCTACAGCAAACATGATAGCGATGAGCATTTGTAAACTTTCAACACCGGTGTAATCTGCAGCTCAGGGTCGAGAGGCTGCAGAGCGAACACACACACGAGCTGCTGGCAGGGGAAAAAATCAGCCTGCAGAGGCTCAATACATCATGACCTGCAACCTTGATGTCACAAACAAAACCACACCTGCCTCTGCTCCAGATTACGAACAAAAACAGTTTCTGTCTTAATTGTAGTGGTTTTCATTTAGTTCAAACCTCAGGTTCAAGATCTGCCTTCCCCGATGTCTGACTCTGCCTTTGCAGTTGTTTTTGCCTTCGCGTTACTTCCAGAACACTCTTTTTTTTCAAGTTTTTTTTTAATCTCTACTGCCCTGCTGTAAAAATGCAGAAACACTGCTGGGAAATGAGAGACTTACACAAATAGGGCGATGCCAGTGTTGGCCATAGCGTAGGACAGACCCAGGATGCCACTGCCCATGATGGCGTTGCCCAGGTTGAAGACGGACATGCCAAAGGAAGCATTGCCCTGGTGCTGTGGGAAAATGAAAGGTTCACAGTTAGGGAATTAGGAAAAAATTCCGTGAGTGATGAAAGGAGATAAAAGTGCTGGAGAATAAGAGAAGCTCTTACATATTCAGTGTTGTACTTCTTCTTGCCCGGGTTGTGTTCAGGAAGGAAGTTTTGACTCTCTGCATCTATGTCAGTGAACGGGCTTTAAAAGAAAATAAGAAGAAATTAGAGAAATTAATGGGACGGAAAAAGAGTTGTTTTTTAATAAATATATATAAATATATTTTAAAGCCAGCCTCACCCGCTCAGTGGGACCTTTTTAGGACAGTCTTGGTAAGTGTACTCATTGCTGTTGGAGCTGCTGCTGTCTTCTTCAGGAGAGATGTTGAAACGGCTCATCTCAGTTTTGGGAGTGGGCTGTTTCATACTGTACAGGAAAAAAAGAGCAATTTTATTTTCTATTGTTCATTTTTACGCATTCCTGCTATCTGCGTCATGCGCCGCGGCATTTTTATAGTCCTAGCTGTGCGCGTTCACGCTTCCTTTAGAATAATCAATATTATAGTGAGTATGCGGGCACGCTCCGCAGCGCTCTCTCTGATCATGTGACTTTTCTTAGGAGGGAGGGGGAAGAAGGGGGGGGTGACGCACCGGCAGTGGAAAAATACCAGACCGGCATCCGAATCCACCCGACTTCACCACAGCGCCGCTTTAGACTCTGAATGACAAAATATCCGCAGTACGGGGGGCTGACTTTGCGCACATTTCCCTCCGAAATCATTTGAAAAGCGGAATGAAAACAGGGTGTGTCAACGCCTTTTTCCTCACACACAGTGTTCTTTAGACATCTTATAAAGCAGAGGGAGGTGACATTAAGGCGAAGCGGCAGGTGGATTTTCTAAATATGACATCCTAGTGTCATAATAAGATATTTCTATGTGTTGGCGGAGCGGTGCGCACATGTAGATCCACACTGAGCCCAAAAGGCGTAACCCCAGATCCATTTAATGACATTATTTCCATGGCCGGCTCCGATGGAAACAATGGCACGTGTTGTCTCTATATGGGCACGGAAGGCTCTCCATTTTGCGCAAAGACTCTGCTCTGATTCACAGTCGGGTTATAATTACAGCCTTTCCAAATTACACACACAGACAGGTTTTCACATGTCTTCCACTTCACATTGTGTTTAATGATCTGTGCGGCGGGGCCAGCCCTGTGCCACATCCAGACACTGAGTCCGGCACTGCAGCATCAGTGCCACACTGCTTCATTAGGAATTTATTTGGACCAGGGCTGACCTGGTATAACAAATAACGCATCAAGCCTCTCAGAAACGACATTTATACCTCTTTAGAAAGACATATGGCCGGGGGGGGGAAATAATTAACCCAAAAAGAGCAGTAACTCATCGACTTTGAATTAAATGAGATTCAAAATACAAACCAAAGACAGTTATTGAGGTAATTATGTACAAATAACGAATCAAATTTGTAATCTAAAGTCTTAGAATTATCATTCATTGAGTGTGCCGCCCACATCCGGTAAATTTCCGACACAGTGGGTAAATGAGGGGATGCCGGCATTCATTCGTTCTTACCTTGTTAAGATGTGGCAGGATGCCTGTAAAATCCCTTCAGTACAAAAAAGAAACAGCAGATGTCCGGACGATTTCTTCACAAAATTCACTGATTCCTTGAGTGTATTTAGGCTGAATATGAATAAACTGAGGAATGAATGGACAGGCCTATTTACCAGACAGGATCTGAATTAAAACACTGTCTCAAACAGCTCAAGTAACAAAAACAGCCACTCTTAGAATAAACCGACAGACGCGTAACAATCAAAAAGAATTTCGATATAAGACTAATTCAACCAAATTCCCAGAGATGCGGTGCGCTCGAAGAGAAGACCCTGTTCTGCTGGAGGAGGGGTGGGGACTCACCCTTTTATAAAGATGAGCATTGCATCAGCCTACACAAAAAAAATCTAGAGGGAGGAGCTTGAGGTGGAGACTTTTTTTTTTTTTTTTTTTTTTTTACTCACAGTGACGTGGTTTTGTGTACAAACACAGCGGTGACCTAGAGACTCTCCCTTGGAAAACCACAGGGATCCTGTGGTACATTTTTACAATAGGTGTTATCGAGGAATGCCATATAAACATTACAGTTATACTGAATGAGATCAAAGAGATAAGTGGGACCAACATAGCCATTCATCATTATATGGACACCAAATGCTTCAAATATTACTTTAAATCTGTCTGTGGTCATTATAGTGGCCTTATGACTGTTAAAGGACTACAGGAGCTTTGTGCTATACAATAACATAACATATTGAATACAATGACAGAGGGGTTTATTAGGACACGAGTAAGGATAGTAGTGTCCAACCTGTTTCGTCAAACATACCCCCAAATCTAAATCAACTTGTAATTTCTATTTCTACAAAGTGTTTTACGGATTGGTGTATTTGTTCCACATCATGAATAGAGGACGTAGCTGTGTGCTTTACAGCTGATACACTGGAGAGACTTTTTGAAGGTAACGTGGGCTCAGAGTGTCCCGGATGTCTGTCACTCCAGATCAGGCTGTTAGTGGAGCTTCAAAGCGGACCTCCCTGTCTGAAGGAGATTACACACAAACGCCGTCATGTGACAGCGGTCATCCTGATCCTCATTCACACAGTTGGCTCTCCTCGCCGGTCAGGTGTGTTTGTGTCTGTGTGAAAATCTTCCACAGCTCTTCTTTCTAGTTTATTATTAATGCTGGGATGACTCAGAGGCGTACAGTGTGTTTATGGATTAACCTTTGTCTCCACAGATAAATAATACACTAATATACCAACTGCTGCTAATGCTGGAGACTAATTACTGCTGCTGGACACTTATGATACATCACAACTGCTACTACACTTTTATTATACTAATACTATACTACTGTGACTGCTAGACAGCTACATGTAATATTACAGCTAAATTACTACTTCCTGTACTCATACTAGCCATCACTACTACTACTTCTATTTGTACTATATGTAGTAGTGCAGGTAGTAGTAGTACAACTACTACAATTAGTCAGAGGTCAGCGTGCCCATAGACACTTGTGTGATGTGTGATCAAACCTGACTCTGTGCACTAATTTTGGAAGCTCAAAGGAAAAGTTACTCAAGATGCATGTTTAAGAATAAATATCCAGTGTGTGCGGTCAGTATTATGAAACTGCCTCAGCTGGAGGTGAAATGTCAAAAGTGGACAGTAACGAAACTTTTCTTCTCTCACACATTATGCAACGTCTTTATGTCTTTACTCCCGGAACTGTTCTGCAAAAACGTTTGTGGCTTCACGTTCATTTTAGCTTTGTGATCTTGTGACACAAGTTCACATTACACGCAGGGAGCGAACATAAACACAAAGTTGCGCTTTTGTCATATGTTCAGTAGTATTTATCTGTTTTGTTTTCATTGAGGAAGATGCTTATATAAGGATTAAGAAAATATGTGTCACACCCAGAGCACTTCGTTTTTCTTTCTCTTTGCTCTTTAAAAAGTTTCACTGCATTAAATAAGATCAAGATTTCAGTCACCTAATATTAAAACCAAATAAAAAGGTTATAATAAAAGTCATAGCATTCAATTTATATGTGACCTGTAACCTAATTAGGGAAACACACAAACACACACACACACACACACACACACACACACACACACACACACACACAGATATCCACACATTTGACGTAAAGGAATAAATAATTCAAAAGGCATTCATGAGTGAAAGACACTTCTGTTGATTCTCTCACTCACAATTCCTCATGATCTCTGTGTCACTCACACACACACACACACACACACACACACACACACACACACACACACACACACACACACACTGTGCATTCCTCTGCCCTCAGTCACACGAGTACGTTTGTGTGTGGCTCTCTCTATACAGGCCTTTGTTTTGGGCTTTAGCTCGACCCAGCAGATCTAAGACGGATCAGGAAACTGGAGCGGGGGCAAGGGGTGCAGGAGGGGACGCGGTCTGAACACCGGTGCCTTGTTACCCCCATCCACACACACATATAAAAATACACAAATGTGCACAACATTCGCTCTGATGTGGGTGAACCCAGTGGGGCAAGATCTGGTCTGGGGTCCAGGGAGCAGGCCAGGGTTCGACATGTGAGTGTGAGCGGCTCCAATGGTGAAAAAAAGTGAAAATAAACTTGGCTATCACCAAAACTACTCCTCCCACTCGTACAATACTCCCACTCCTTTTAGTAGTTGCATTAGCACAACTGTACATCTATTTGGCAGGGCCCTGCTGCTAACACTTCTACCACAACTCCAATAGTGCTTGCTTTGTCATGTGATCACTCAAAAGTAGCCTACACTGAGGACCAGTTTTGAGAAGTTTAACAAACAAGGCTCTCACTGTAACACCGTCTGCTCTGCGGCTCTGTTAATGATCTGCCTCTGTCTGCAAGCCCACAACAATACAACTCAGCAAACTTGTTTGGGTGTGTGTGTGAGGCTTGGCCTAAAACAAATGCAATTGAATACGCCTTAGCAGAAATTTATTATAAGTGCAGATGTCTGGCCGTTTTCTTTGGGGCAAATAAGACACATCCTGTTATGCTATGAAAAGAAACCACAGTGGTTTCATGAGAAACAAGATTAAAGATACAGTCACGGAAATTAATAGATGAGGCTATACATCCTCTCCTTTGGAAATAACCTCATTAGATGTGTTAGTTAGACAGCGTGACCTCTTCACTGTCATTGCATATTAAACAACATCTGGAGTAAGGAGCAGTTTGTTCACACTCCCTACCACTGACTTATTTTCAGATGAGAACATTTAAGTCTAAACTGTGGTGTCTGCACATGAATCCCACATGAAAAGTCTTTCAGAAGAAGTGAAAAGGTCACCAGATCACACCCAAGGAAACAGCACCAAGCACAATAGGTTAGTCATAATGAAGAGACAGACGATATGTAAATAGCCAGAGGTTCCTCATGCTTGACACCTGAGCGCAAGAGGAAATGATGAGAGACGACACAGTGTCTAACTCTGATCACAAAGAGTTATTTGTTTGGCTTTGGTTTTATTGAAGGAAGAGTTCTACATTTTGGGAAATAAACATATTTGCTTACTTGATGAGAATAAGATGAGAACTCTGGCCAAAAAACTCTGGAACATTTTTTTAAACATTCACTTGTATATTCAGGAAGTGTGAATAATAAGTGTTGCAGTGTTGTTGTGGCAGCCTAGGAGAGCTGTTTAGATAGCGTCACCTCCCACTATACGCGTTTGCTTGAATGTAGTCCTAACATTTACCTCCAGAAGGCTGCAGAGAAAGTTCCGGCCCCCTAGAACAGTATCAACAATATTTGCATGTATGAGCTCAGGGCGGTTTTACTCACAAGATGATTTGGTATATTGATCCTGGTTTGTTTGGGTTCCTGGTTTTCCCTTAGCTCCCAACCATTGCACACCCATGCAATCAACTAAAACTGATAAATGCAAAACTAACATTTAAGTATTTTTGTTTATTTATTTTGGTTTTTTGAAGACTCCTCGCTATGTGGACGCTCATGATGCCATGATTGTTGATAATCTTTGTTTGTTTGCTGACCTGTATTAATAGTTATTTATTATTATTTATTCTTTGTTTCATTATGTGACAAAACGGCTGTGTATAATTCATATGTGCATAAGTATAAATAAACAGTGTTGCTTTAAAAAAAGGAAAATTGATAAAAAGTTGACATAGCTAAAAGTATCAGAAAATAAATGGTTGAAATAGCCAAGAGTAATGGATAAATAGTTGAAAACGTTTGCTAAAAATTGATAAAAGCTTGAAACAGCCACCATGTGCCACACAAAACAGTGACAGTTCAATGTATGGTGATTGTTTTTTGCACGTTTCGCAGCCACTGCAGTTTCTCCTTCACGCTTGGAAGGGGATCTAAAATGCCACAGCTAGATGCCACTATATCCTACACACTGGACCTCTGAGAAACATCCAGTTTCAAGTCAATGAACACATGTGAAGTGTGACTGGTTGTGTTGAGGAAGGGGGTAGTTGAGTTCATCTGACAGGACTGTGAAAAAAAGGTTGGGAACCAATGATATTTTGTTACATATATAGAAACAAAGTAGAATTTGGATAGCGGACAATGTTAGAGTCACCATGTTAGCGCTTGGCTGATGAGCACTCCTCACACTTTCCCATGTGAAAGAGAATAAGTTCAGTGATAAATGTTAATGCTGTGAAGTGCCTTGAAGGCTGCACTGTCAGCAGAGGAGGCCATCACACTGGATAGTTGCTCTGCACTGGAGCTGAGAGCAGTAGCTGAAGAGAACACATTGGTTCTGTGCTTCTCCCTAGAGTGTTTTCATCTATGGGAGCTGACAGGATGCATGAGGATGCATGAGATGATAGCTGCAGCTTGTAGCACAACATAACAGCCTTTTATGCTGTAAAAGTATTCTTATGTTCATGATGCATCTTTTTTTTAGCTTGTCCACTAACTTAAAGCTACACTTATCAATATTTGTATATTACAATGTATCAAATAACTATGTGTAATGTAAAGGGGTTGCTTGTAGTATCGAACCCGCAAAGAATCATCACCCAACGTTGCAGTTCCTTCAGCTCTATGGTGCATTTTAGCGTCTTTTAGTTTATTGTTTCATAGTTTTGGTTTCACAGCCCGCAACTTCAGTGAGAAAAAGCTCTGATAAACCCCCAGTACACTACCTGCTCAGCACCAAACAGTGAACAGACAAGGTTAGCTGGTACCTGCTGAACACAGTGGAGTTTTAGCAGCTAAAGAACCAGATCTTGTCTTCAGGAGTTGGCAGAGACAAAACCAGAGCTAAAAAGATTGTGAATGTTGGATTAACATTCGTCATGTGGCCAGAACTGTGACT